CCGCCGAACAGCACCACTCGTGCACGTACCTGGGATTTTACCGCTGAGACAAGATGATTCAGCAACCAGTACTGCCGTCCGAGCTGCCGTCGAATTTCTCCGCCGCCTGCGCCACCAATTACCGCCGCCGCCGCCGCCGAAACAGGGTGGGTAAGGGAGGGAAAAAAAATTCGCCTACTCCTCTCGATCTCAATGCCGAGGACACGATTGGCTCTGGATACCAATTGCACAACCTAGTAATCAGATCCGGGGAATTTTGAGGATGAAAACGAGCTAGGGTTTCGATCTGAATGTATAACCTCGAATATGAGCAAGTATATTCCTCACAGAGGAAGGTTTAATGTATACATTGTTTGGAATTGGCTTGACTGGAAGGAATGGTTTACAAGCGCACAACGCTGGCTTATATATAGCCACTCTCTGAAACGGAATAGTAAACAGACGACTATTGAAACGGTACAGTAACGATGAGCGAATGCGAGCCATTAGATCTTCATATCTTCAGCTGCTCGCCACCGTTCGATAATTGAACCCACTTGATGACTGAATCTCATCCTGGTCCTGACACATAGGCCACGTACGTGAGCCCGCTCCAGGGCACATCCAGAGGCCACTCATCCTCGAGCACCACTGCCACAAGCCAAGGGCACAAGCCTCCTTCCATCAAGCACCTCCACCGCCGTATTGCAGCCACCAACTATCACTGGACCACAACCAACCACCAACAAGATGGACCCGCCATGTTGCTCGCCTCGAGGAATTGGTCACCATGGGAGAGGAGTATGCCGCCGAGAGGGACTGTCGTGTCTAGGACCTAGCGACGACGCTCTAGAATTCCCCGGGTTGCCCTTCCCAAGCGACAGGGGAGATAATTAAAATTGTATCCTTTGTTGATAATAGTGGTTTCTCGAACTATGAGAAAAATTACCTATTGCTAGCTACCAAGCATTAAGAAACCTTGTTTATAAACATATTGACAACAACGGTTGTGTTCCGTGGTGTGTGAAATTACTGCTTGCTACAAACTCTTGCTCTTTGCTTTTGTGGCCAAAAAACTGCTTATGAGCTCCCACGCTTTACAAACCTGCTGCCTACATGAACATTATGGACAACGGTGACCGTTGTCCACCATGTGTGCACTACTTCGAAGACTTCGAAAAAAAAAATCATTCACTGAGCCCGATGGTACGTGTTTGGCAACACATTGGCGTTCTCCCGGGTTCAGATATAAAAACTCGAAGGAATCACCAATTTCGATGATTCCATTTGCACATCGGTTCTCCTTACCATCCTCTGAAAAATATGAGATGCTAGAAATGTGATGATATTCTGAGATGAATACAATCGTACCTCCTCCACTCTCAGAAATTTCGTCCCCGATCTCGCACTTCGGACTCATCGGTTCAGGGCACCAAGCGAAAAGGTCACTGCCTACTCTTGGCGGCAATGCCTCTTCTCATGTGCAAATGTTCTCATGCAAACTTTCAGTTGTCATCGTCTAGTAACTGGTTAAATTATTTGAACAATTTATTCAGATAAATGAACTCCCCCTTCTCTACCCCATCCCGCCCCCCCTGACATGACAAAACATAATCTTCTAGCTCCAAGTATTTTTTTATCCCTCGAAGAAACTATTCATGTCAGATATATGAGAGACATCAAATTCCAGGTGGGACAATCAATTCCCTATAGCCTTCTACTTCCTCTGTAAATTGTAGTGATCTAAACGCTCTTATATTAGTTGACGGAGGAAGTATAAAATAATAATAATGGTTCGATCAGACTTGTTTGAACATAAAAATCCTTTACACCATGCACGGTGACCGACAAGCATATTCATTCAATAGCTGATATTCACCCGGTCACTCCCATAAAACACAGACATATATTCACATCAACAAGCAAATTATATACTACACGAGATGTCATAAACTGATCATGCGTATTAAACACATTATTGTTCAGATCAACCTGCTGTGTCCATAATTTAATATCCATGTTATTTGATACAAAAAACGTGTGATCAAACTTGTCTGAATATACAAACCCTTTACTCTAGGCACGGTGACAGACATGCATAGAAAATTAATAACAAATATTAACATCAGGAAACAACTTATATACACCATATGGCGCAGTTTTATATTTTTTGAGACAGTGAATTTCAGTTTATATCCCTGTACCTTGATATATTTTACGCTAATTACCCCATCTAACAACTTTTCATCCGGATTGCCCCATTTAGCAAAAAGTTTTATCATTTTTTACCAATTTTAAAGTATTTTAGGTTGTTGATAGCTCTTTTAGTAGTTCTTTTGCCGGACAAAGCGCCAATGGAGCCTTGTCTAGTACAATCCGGCACCACGGAGCAAATGTGGTGAAGAAAAATGTGGTGGAAGCAATAAACAAGGAGTTGTGCGACGTGAAGAAGAAACCCATCAAGGTGAAGGAGGGCGTATGTACACATTTTTTTTCCGGAGGCGTATGTACACATGATGACCGTGAGAGAAATGATGTCCAACTAAGCCATTCGACGATCTCGTCCCTGTTTTCCTCTCGTCCCTGGCGGCTGGAACCCTAGCCGCCGCCAGGGGAGGCCGGTCTTCCAACGCCGCTCTCCGGCGGCTCCCCTCCGCCGGCGACCTCGGTCGTCGGTGGTGAGGGGGGTCGCCGGATCCACGCGTGTGGATCGTTTTTACTCTTCCGTAGTCTAGGTTTTTAGGTTGTTCATCGTCTTTGCTTCGGCGGTGACGATGACAACGCTGAATAAAAATTCTTCGGATCCTTTCCTCACGAGGCCATCGGTCCTATGGTTGGGGATGGATTTGGAAATCAGTCTGTTCAAGCAAGGATGGCGTGGCGGCGGCGGTATCCTCGTGGTGGACCTGTGTCCTCGGGCTCCGCCGTTGCGATGGCGTTTGCTCCAGCGTCGGCGCGGAGCTTGGGAGGTAGTCCAGGAGCGGATGCAGATTGTGGTCTGCATCGACGACATCTGGAAGACGGAGCATGTGCTGGGCTCGTGGTTCGTGGATGGCAGATATGGTTTCCTCCTTCGGCGTTTTAGTCGTGGTGGGGTGCTAGATCTGGAGTTCGATGGCGTGTCCGGGGTGTTGCCCTGGTCTGACTCGTTCAACGGTAAGAGTTTCACTTTTGGTGAGCCACCTTGGAGGTCCGCAAAGCTGCATATCAGCAATGGAGCCACGTCGAGCTCGGATGAGAAGGTGATTCGTCATTCTTTTCTGCGGTGGCTACTGTGGTGGTGCCGGAGGCAGGTGACGGGCGTTGGTGTCAACCTCAGAGATGTTCTGCTATCTTTTCAGTTTTGTCATGTCAGTCTTTACGTGGCTTGTACTTTGTTCTTTATGATATGAATGAGACACGTATTACCATGCAAAAAAAAACTAAGCCATTCGACAATAAAAATAGGATGTAATCAACTGCCTAACTAGATAATCCTAGCCGCCGTCAGCAGAGGCCAATCTTCCTGCGCCATCCTCCGATGGCTCCCCTCCGCCGGCGACCTCGGTCGTCGGTGGTGAGGTGGGTCACCGGATCTACGCACGTGGATCATACGATGAGGGCGCTAAATAAAGATTCTTTGGATCCTTCCTTGACAAGGCCATCGGTCCTATGGTTGGGGATGAATTTGGAAACCAGTCTGTTCAAGTAAGGATGTCGTGGCGGCGGCAACATCCTCGTGGTGGACCTGTGTCCTCGGACTCCACCGTTGTGACGGCGTTTGCTCCAGCGTCGGCGCGGAGCTTGGGAGGTAATCTAGAAGCGGATGTAGATTGTGGTCTGCATCGAAGACATCTGGAAGACGGAACGTGTGCTGCGTTCGTGGTTCGCGGATGACAGGTATGGTCTCCTTCTTTAGCGTCTTAGTCGTGATGGGGTGCCAGATCTGGAGTTTGATGACGTGTCCGGGGTGTTGTCCCGGTCTGATTCGTTCAACGGCAAAGGCTTCACTTTTGGAGAACCACCTTGGAGGTCCGCAAAGCTGTATATCAGCGATGGAGCCGTGTCGAGCTCGTGTGAGGAGGTGATCCACCATTGTTTTCTTGGGTGGCTGCTGTGGTGGTGCCGCAGGCAGGTGACGGGCATTGGTGTCAAGCTCAGAGATGTTCTTCTATCTTTTCAGTTTTGTCAAGTTGGTCCTTACGTGACTTGTTATTTGATCTTTATGATATGAATGAGACATGTATTACCATGCAAAAAAAAAAAACTAGGCCATTCGACCAGTTAGGATGGGAGGAAAAAACACCAGGAGAATAATTGGGATGAATCAAGCTACACATGATAGACGGCTAAATGGGGTAGAAAGTAGAAACTAGCAAAACTTACGCTAAATGAGGTAAAAACTGGCAAAACATTTGCTAGATAGGGTAATCTAAAAGAGTAGATGTTAAATGAGATAATTTATGCCCAAAATGTCAGAAATAGAGGGTAAAAAAAATGGAATTCACTCTTTTTGAGATGGAAATGGCACAAACTGATCAAGCGTAATGTATTAAAAACATTATTATTTAGAACAACCTATTGCTTTAAACCATGCATGAGAGCCACATCCTACATGTATTTGGTAAAGAAGATGATACAACCTCAAAGAAGGCACAATCCATACAACCATGTCTATAATTTAGTGTCCATGGTAAAAATACTTGATAAAAAGGCAGTAATATACATACCCTTTTTTCTCCAAACACGGTAACAGACAGACACAGAGAGTCAGTAACACAGATATTAACATCAGCACGCAAATTATATACACGAAATGGCAGAAACTGATCATGCGTATTAAGCACATTATTGTTCTACCGTGTCCAAAACTTAATATCCATGTCATAAGCTTGTAACCGCGTAAAGTTACAAATTAACCTCCTGCCGTCTGCTTCCGGCGTAGTAAACAAAGATGAAGCCACACAGTACTGTAAAACTACCCAACGAGGCGATAGACGGTCGAAAAATGGAAACCACCGTAGTCAAGATTCAGCCAAACTTTACCTTCCCACCACGGAGGCAATCATCCCATGCAGCCTGCCGGTTCCCCCGCCGGAGCGCCGGGCGCGGAAGCACAGGGTAGATGTCGGTGACGCCGCCCCGCCGTCCGCTTCTTCGTCATCTCCCCTTGACGTCGACGAGAAGGACGACCGCGGCGGGCTGGCCACCAGCCTCTTCCTCCGGCTGCACTCCTTGGACGGCGAGGGAGCCGGCATCGTGTGGCTCCTGCGGAACATCGTCGGGACGAAGCTGGCCGGCCTGGAGGATGAGAGCAGCTTCTTGGAGGACTCTGACTTGGTGATCTTCGTCTTGCTGTAGTAGGAAGGTGGCGGCGTGATGGGCGGGAGCGCCCTGGACGAGAAGCCGTCGTTCTTGGGCGTCCCCGGCGCCGACTCCCAGTGGAACGGCACCGAGCCCGCGGAGGCGACGCCGTAGTAGTTGCGGAAGGAGGGGTTGGAGAGGGAGGCGTCCGGGGCGAGGAGGCGGCTGGCCATGGTGGTCGGCCTGTCCTCCTGCATCATCACGTCCCGGAGCGTCCTCTGGCTCGAGCTCATCCTCGCTTTGCCTGGCTAGTTTTGGTCGTCTCTTCCTAGATGAGATTAGACGCAATGTGAGTTCGGAATCTAGTGTGAGATACTTCTTGAAATGTGAGATGTGCTATGCTGACCTTGCTGCCGAGAGAGGGAGAGAGTAGGAGAGAGCAGACATCAGGCATGTGATCCGGGGCAAGTAGCACATGGATCCAGTAGGTTTGCCGCTGACTTTGGGATGGTTTAATTGCATGACACTTAAACATATCGCACCCGGAGACGAATGGGCCATGACTTGCTTCGGTTAACCATATACCTGTCGGCATCCCAGGTGGCTGAGGAGCTTCGGTGGCTGGTTCGGGTCGTTGGCTACGACGGACTGGAACAACGTCAGCCCCAGCCGGCGATGGTCTGTTCCAGGTCTTATTTTCCGAGTGCCGATGGGCGATGACCTCTCTC